ACCTTGCACGTTTACTCTTATGTTAATTATCGATTAAAAAAAGTTTCCAAAGATTCGCAATTCAATCATCGACCCCCGTGTATACCATATATATGTAATATATATATGTATATACACAGCTATAAACACAAATATGATACTACCGGATTGCGACGGCGCGGCGCAACGATTGTTTTCAAGGCTCCAACGAGGCAGCTATGATGTTTATATTTGCATCTGCGAAGCAGATGGACGTGACGTATTTCCAATAACTCTATAATCTTCCTTTTTTTACAAATCTCGGATAGATGGTCGAACATATTCAATTATAACATAAATAAAAATAATAAATAGATCCATGGCGTTTCTTCAAAAACATTTGATTAAAAAACAAAAAAAAGTACAAATAAATTGCAACCATTGCGAACTCACAACACTGAACAATTTTTTATCGCAATGCGTATTTGCCGAGTCACGCTATCCTCGATTGCTTGGGAACTGCACACACGGCACGACTTCTTTTGTCCTTTGCAAGTTACAGAACTCGTTTTTTTTTTCTAATCAAAACAATGTAGCCACGTTAAACCCCGTTAATTTCAGCCTCATTATCTTCATTTTTTTACCTAATCACCTGCTGCGTGGTGTAAGTAAACGGCAGCGACCGTGATCGGTCGCGTGCGTGTACGCATACGAACGTAAGTACATGCGCGCGATACGCGCATAAGTATCCTCCTGTCGCGAATCGTCGCGTCACATCGCAAGTATCGCGAGGCGTGCGGTTGTGCACCGCACTGCGCTCTCCGCGCGCTCGTTGCGTTGCGCAACACGACGTCCGTCACATCTACGGACCCGCCGGCGGTTGTGTATACAAAACACACGCGGGATTTTGAAAGTAGTCACGCTGGTTGAGATCGTAATCGCTGCGAGTCGTTGGCGGCTGTGGTATCGACGCTGCGGCTAATTATCGGGTCTGCTCGCGCGCCTCGTGCGAACGCAAACGCGGCGTCGCGTCGCGTCGCGTCGCGTCGGTGAATCCCGATGAACGCCTCGAGCGATAGCCACACCGACCACGGTCTCTCGATTAGGATACACAGAATCCGGTGGAACGTGTTCAGGGCGTGATCCGTAAGGCCCTACTTATTGTTCGATGCGAACTCATATTTTATAACGGGCCTTATTATGAATAATTGTGGCCGTCGCTACACACTGCTCCCGCTTCCTTTCAGGAACGTTGATACTTATCGCCGTTGAATTACTACGTCTTCTCCTATCTCGAAATACACCGAGTTCTCGATATAAGGAAAATGTCTCGTGAGAGGATAGAATAATTTCCACGGAATTTTTCCGCGGACAGTATTTCTCCTGGAAGAAAAAAAAAATCCGTAGAAAATTTTCTTGGGATTATTTCTGGAAATTATTTCTAAAATTATTCCCGGATGAAGAAAATTTCCCTGGAAATTATGTCTGATGTAATTTTCCGCGGAAAGTATTCTACGAGGAGATGGAGAAATTTTTATACCGACGAAAAAATGCAAATAAAGGAAACGAGAAGTATTTGACTTTAACTGGATATTTGATGATTATGACGAATAATCCATTAATAAATAAATTATTTCTTCTTCTAATTTTTATTATTATATATAATGTATTTCTATGCTACTTTTTTTAGTTATTTCATTACGAAGGATAAATTTATAGATTGATAAAAAAAAGAAGTTTTTGAAGGTCGTCATCATTTTTCAAAATGGAATTCTTTAATTTTTTCTTATAATATGATTTCTCTAATTATTCTACATGTAAAAATATTAAGATAGAGCTATTGAAAAATCAATAATTTATGAGATACTTTATATTTTAGTTTAGCACTTTTTGACATAAAATATAAAATATCTTGTCAATCGTAATATATATTACTTTTGTAATAATCGTACTCTCGTCATGGCTTAATTCTTTTATTCAGAATAATTAGATAAATTAATTGATGTAAAAAAAAATACATACAACTTTTGTGTGAACCGTTTTTTCTTCTAAAATTTACGGGTTTTGAGATATTTGACTGACAAAATAAAACACGTCTGCATGATAAATTTCTGTGCTAGTTATTGTTTAGCTGTTTTATTATTAAGGATAATGGTACAATAATCTTAGATCATTATAGTAAAAATATAAATAAATAACTTACGTTACTGTGTCTCGCGAATTATCGCACGGGTATGTAATATATGTAAAGCAATAGCGGAAAGGAATACTTTAAAATTTTAGAGATTAAAATGCAATGGAGAAATGAATCGTTTTAGAATAATCATATTACTTTCCCTTGGTAATAGGTGCGGTAATATTATTCATTATGAAAATGTAACTTTTTTTCTATTTATTGACGGCAAATTTGAGGCATTACGTCGAACGGCTCCCGAAGATATCCAGGATTCCCTGAAATTGCACATTCTCGGTGGGATCAGTTCCTTCGCAATTCTAACGATGATAAAGTCCCAACGGATCTATAGGTATACCTACTATGCGACGCACGGAACCATATAAAACGCGAAGGGAAAAGCTCAGAAGAGATGGACGAGAAATAAATCGATATCGTGTAAAATGGGAGGTGGGGGTGGCTGTATATATCGGTATCGTTAATAGTTCGCGATAGGCAAACCATTAATTATTATTGTTGTCAACGCCTTTCGCAAAACGAACCGGATGGTCGAAGGGATTGTCGCTGGTATTGCTAAGCCGGCCGGTTTTTACCACCTCGGGGCTGTTGTCAGGGGCTGCGGTTGTATGTCTGCGCCCGTACACATATCGTCGTGTATGTGTGCAAGATATACACGTATATCCGTCTGTCTTCCTCTCCCTTTCGGAGTGCACGCTACTCGTACAAACATAACCCCTTTCGACGTGGCAGAGGGACGGTTATCGATTCTCGCAGCCTCCCTTCTCCCCGACTTCCGGATAAAAAAGTGTCGGCAGAGACACAACCGTGAAGAGCCTTTACCCTCTTTCTCTCTTTCTGATTTTCTTCGATGGTATCTGTTTCTTCATTTTTTTTTTGGTATTTTTGTGTATTTTATTTCTTTGTCATGAGGAATTGTACGATTCAGTCATCAGTGCGAAAAATAGAGATGTAATCGAGATTGAATGAATTGTCAAATTCATTTAAAAAATCTGAAATTTATCGATTTATACTTAAACTAAATTCTTCTTCTATGATTTGTAAATTATATTTTTGATTCTTTTATGAAGAGTAGTAATGAAGATTTTCCGGCTATTATGTTAGACAATACCAACAACATTATGAAACAATTAAAAACGGAGGTTTTAATATTTATTCATTTGTGAAAATTACAAAGTGTAAAAGTTAAAATGTACGTTGGTATTTTTTATTACAATTACAGTGCAACAATTTTTTGCTTTATTGTCGTCGCTTAATGCTAATCACAATTTATTTCATCACTTATCTTTTTTTCATTTCATTGTTAAAGAAAGTTATGCTGTCAAGATAAATACAGATTAATTAAATTTTTATTTTTATATTTTGGTACGATTGTAAAAGAGACAGTGAAATAATAATTGAGAGTTTTAGTTAACCCGTTTTATCGAAATGTGATACCAGAGTGGGGAACCAATTAAATTAAAATTAATATTAAGCAGCACCAGTGAACAGAGAGAGGTTTGCACGAGATTACGTGAAACTTCGCCAGTCCTAAATAAATAAATAGTCGTCGTACTTCGTTTGTTTCTCAATGGTAACGATTTATCGCCTCTCTGCGCGCCGTTCGTTTTTAAACAATGATCTTTGCAATCCGAAAATAAATTACGCGGTATCTGTTGAGGAGGCTGAGAACTTTAAAAGGAGGTTTTCTCTCTCTCTCTCTCTCTCGCGTTTGATGAAATATTAAACAGGTCTATATACAATACATATGTGATGCGAAGGTTATATTATATTAATATAAAAAAAATTCATTAACTTCTGTCGTTTTGAAGATATTTAATTCTAATGTATATAATTTTACAAGTATACGCAAAACTATGATGAAATTAATAAGTATACATTTAAAGGCTAGTATTCAGTGGCGATTTTTTATATTGGTTGTACTACCATATTATGTGTGATACAACTTCTTGTCTAATTCCATGTTGCGCAAAATCTTTGGCCTGTTCTTTTTAGCTGAACTTCTTGCAAGGTTCGTCTTTTCTCTTTTTCTTTCCAACGTGGAGAGAAAAAGAAAGATGAACTATGCAAGAACTTTAGCTCTTGCAAAAAAGAGCAAACCTCTTATCTCGTAGACATTTTTCTTATTGGAAATATTTGCATATAGGGTAGAAATTTTAAAAACATTATAGATGCAGAATAAATATTTAAGCTCATTCTAGTAAAGTTTTGTCTCAATTAACCCTACACAATTTGAGAGAAATTTATATTTTTCGATGAAAAGGAAAGCAAGAATATTTGTCAAATGGATGACGCACGTATATGAGGGGTTACGCGTATATATTATTTTTAGAAATATTCTTGTTAAATCTATCAAAAGCCGCTTTTAAATTTGTGTCATAATTGCGATGTTACATTATCTCCATTATTTGCATATTTTAATACATCGTATGCATTATTTTGAGAACAAGACATGTATATAATCTTAATGATACATAATCTTAAGCATATTGATCAAGCCTATCATATCAAATGAGTATTTTGTAAATTATACATCATAAATGAGTTTTATTTTGTTAATTTTAAATATTTAATAATATATAAAGAATATGTATAATAATATACAAAGAATATATAGAAATTATTGATAAGATTTTTATATTATTATTTTAATCATTTTTTATACAATTTTAAGAATTTAAACTTATCTATTGACTAGAAAGTAGCGAAGAACTTTCTTAAACAAGTGCTCTGAGTCAAATTTATATTTGTATAAACTTATTGTACTGTGTTCAGAGTGCACCAGTTCAGAGAGTACAGAGGGAAAAAAACACCTATTTTTCAATGATCGAATACGCAAGATGCTAATATTTCGTAATAATTGAAGGTTCGGCAGGAAGCATTATGTAAACGCGGCAACGATTACAAGGACAATCTTTTTTAGAGGCGGCTTCGGCGGACGTAGCTGGTAGCGAGACACCGAACGACGATACAATTGAAGGTTATCACACGGCGAAGTTGTCCGGCATCCCTTCGGCATCCGATTCGACTACGTCATCCGATAGGATGGTAGCGTCGACGCAGAGTTTGGAGGATCTGGGCGTCAACCATCCTGCCAACGCGGCAGGGAGCAACGCCGATCGTCAGCAGCATCAGCAGCAGCATCTGCAGGAACGCTACGGTCATGCCTACAGATCATCGGCGCAAACTGCTCAGGACAAGCGATCGCGGTTGAGCAACGTAATCAACAACCTTCGCAAAAAGGTGCCAGATGGAGCAGCTAGCTCGGACTCGCCGAGGAAGGAAGAAGACGATCGGAGTAGCGTTGAGAGAAACCTGGAAACTCTGGAGAAATACGTGATGACGGTGCTGAATGGCGTGATCAAGGACAACGAGGAGGAAGATAAGAACGCAGAGAAGACAAAGGAGCTAGAAAGGCAGAGGAAAAGTAGTGATGAAGAGGAAGAAGAGGAAGAGGAGGAAGAGGAGGAAGAAGAAGATCCGACAGATACAGCAGTCAAATCTGAGCCTTCAAGCGAGGGTGATATCGAAGCAGCTGTTGTGCCACGATTAGAGGACTCCTCGATGATCAAAAATGTCGAAGACGAATTTTCGGAGACTACAGACTTCTCGAGTACAAAAGAAACGATAGAAGAAAGTTTACAAGATTCGGAGGTCAGAATTAGTCAAGATTCAAAGATAGAGGAAGAAGGTTTGGACGTTAAGGAGAAAGAATCATCCGAAGATGATCGAAGTGTTTCGAGGGAGAAGGAAAGTCGAACATTAAGCACGATTATAATGGACAGATTGAGTGAGCATCAGGTCGAGGAAAGAGCGAATGTTGACGACGGCAGAGGAAACCGAACGCGTGATGAACATGCGGTCTCAGAAGATACTACGGTGGGAGTGATTTGCGGTGAATTACTGGACGATCTGTTGAGCGACATCTATCGTACTGTCGACGATCATGAGAACCTGCAAAAGACCGAAGAGTGTAAAAAGTCGAAGAAGACTGACGTGACCGAATCGAGGGTGGAGACCAAAGACTCAAACATCAGCGCTCAGGAGTTGCCCGTGACGGGTCTGCATTGCAGTCTACCCTTGGACAAAGTCGCGTCTGTGCTTCAAAATTGTCAGTCGAATGAGTTGATAACTTTACGACTCTCTTCAGGATCGTCCTCGAGCCCTCCATCGACTCAGAAGCCAAAACCGTCGTCCAATACTCCACCGGTCAGAGTTCTCTGTCTCTATTGCGACAGGAAGTTTCTATCCATGTCCCGGCTACAGCGGCATACGGAGAAAGCACACCAGCTAGGCGGTGGCAGGAGATCGGAAAGGAATCTCCGGAAACCCTCCCAGAACTGTCAGTACTGCTGCGAGAAATCTGCCGATACCCTGGAGACGTTGTTCCAACACATGGTCGCTAGTCACGGAGATAAGTACCACGCGTGCGTCCAGTGTTTGACGAGGTACCTCACCCGGGAAGCTTTGGTGGGACACATAAGCGAGACGCACGGGGGAAATGCCGAGAAGATCGGTCAGGTTCAGGTAAATGTCGCGAAAAATCGATGAGCGTTGTGAATACTGTTTCTTGTGTCTTAGAATAGAATATAGAACTTTAATGCTTTGTTCGATATTTTATCGAGTGTTAAATATTATTAAATCTATGAAAATTTGTTGATCTTTCATTCTTTATTTGTTTATTGGATATTTATTATTATATTATATTATAATATATTGGATATTTATTATTATATTTATACCATATATATATATATATATATATATATATATATATTCTACTATCGAATATCCATACTCTTAAATAATTCTTTAAAAAATTCTTTTAGCTTTTTTCTAATTCTGTACATAGTTATTCTATTTATAATCACAATAATTTTTAATTTTTTAATGAATCTACATCGTTAAATTTTTAATAACTTTAAAACTTTGAGTGAAGGAATGTTATTTCACTATAATAGAAACAAAAATATAAAATTCACTATAATAGAAACAAAAACAATAACAAATCTCAAGGTAACTGAGTAATAACTTGTTGTATTTTGTTCCTTGAAGAATGAAGAAATCTAAATAAGAACATAAGAATACTTTCAGAAATTGACGCAAGAATACGTTACTTTTACTTCAAATTTGAATCGAAAAGTTTCTATCTTGAAAATATGATTAGTTATTGTGAGACAAACACATCTTTGTTCTTTCAGCCGGAGAAAATTAAAGAAGGATCGCCCCCCAACAGAGATTTTTGTAGTCAAAATTTACGTGAGAAGGTGAATATGTCGTCAGTTAGAGAGAAAAGATCCGAAGAAAAGGAATCGGAGGATCAAGATGACAGCCAGCGGTTAGACAGTAGTCGAACGAAACTCATTGCGACGCGAGAATCCATCGATAATCCGGCCAGTCCTGAGTTTGACAGTTCTTTCTACAGCAATGTGAGTTGCAACATTCGTGAGAACCTGCTGCACCACCTGGACGGCAAGCTGCAAACGATAAGCGGCACGTCGTCCTCGACGTGCACATCACCGATTGCTACCTCAAGCTCGACGGCGACGACGACGGAATCAAAATCGCCGCAACAACAACCGCAACAGTCGTACTACGAGCATAGCGTCAATCAGATCCAATTTCCTATCGATATTTCACTAACCGCGGCGACCCCGGTTTACAGTAAAGACTATTCGGCCAGCGAGGAGTACGAAAACTCGAGTGAACATGCCCGGAAACCCGGGAAAATGAGGAGCGGCTCACGACCTCGTCGCGTCTCTTTCGAGAAATATAATTTCCCACGAAAGTACGACGGCAGGGAACAGTGGACGTGCTCGATCAAGGACCTTAGCAAGTTTGACATCTCCACGCAGCTGACACTCCGAAAAAAGCAACAGCTTATTAAGGAACGTCTTGCTGGCAGCAAATTACATCAGACTCAGTTGAAATCCTGCGAGATAACTGAAGTATCTCTTTGCGAACAGGATCAGATAGAGCCTGTTGAAATAGCAGTGAGAGATGAGGATAACACTGATACCGTTTGCGTGGTTGATACGGGTGCCACGACTGTCGATGTCCACTGCGATGTTGGCGAACCACTTCCAAGCGAAACTAAAAAGGAGACAACAACCGAATCATCCGCAACGTTGTCGATTAGTACGGAATTCACTGTTGAATTTGCAGATTTTATGAGACTGAGAAGGCGCGAGGAAAGCGACAATGGGGTCACCGATGCTCAGGAGATCGTTTACACTGAGCTGAGCGGCGAATGGTCACGAATGCGAATCTACATTTGCGGCGCTTGCGGTTCCAGACACGTAAGTATATAACTTCTACATATTTTTATTTTAACAATAAATAGGATAATGTAAAGGGCAGATCCGAGAGTTGTCGTTAAATATAAGAAATTAATACATTAAAAAAGTTAGAAATATAATTAAAACAATGTGAAAACTGCGTACATAAAGACGTTTTTGTTTTATATATTTTTTCTTTATAATATCATATTTTGTTAAAAATAAAAATTTAATAATAAGAAATATGAAAAAAAATCAATTAAATTATTGATAAAAATTGCAATAATTTAAATCTTAGCATTTATTTTCGAAAAACGATTTTCGATTGTTTCTTATCTATTTCTTTTTTTTATCCTCTCAGTGTTTTGTTTCTTGCAATAATCAAAATATCAGTAATTAGGTTGACTTGACCGGTGTTTTCCATTACGATATTATCAAAGATACGGAGATATTAATATGGGTCTATGATTGATTTATGTCATCTTACCTTAAGATATATTTAAGACAATCTTAAATATATAAACCGACTGTAAATATCGGCTTAAGATCTTTATTACGAAACTTTATAGTTCTTTTATAGAGTAATTTGATAAGTACATAAAATTTCTTCAATATTTTAAACGAATAAGCAGATTTAATTGTACAATTAATATTTCAAGTTTATTAATTAAACTTAATGTAGCACCTTATGATTTTAAACAAGGAAATGTCCACTTTTTCAAATATATAGTGACTACAAAATATAAAAAAGAACCAAGAATTATAAAAAATACGCAACAAGTTTTTTTAATACGATTTTAAATATTACTGTCGTGTTGCAAATGGTGCATTTTTATTAGTACGAACGCGGTCTAGATAATTTATCAAGTAACGTATTTGATCTTTGACATTCGTGCGATACACATACCGGATGGTGAGCGTTTTCAGTGAGTCTTCTAAATTACCGATTTACTCATGCAACTTTGTTTCTACAATGGTCTGTTTTTTTCTGCATACAAATCGAATAATTCATATCTAATGAAATATCTGTAAGTGAATCAGAATAAAATTTCTTCTTATTATCTTAAGAGGAACATAAAAACAGCTTATTTATCTATGTACCGTATTATCGAGGGAAATATCGTAGGAATCCCTACATCTTCTTCGTTGTTAGCGCTTTAATTGAATTTTACAAAAATTGAAATATTACGTATTCGATATCGATTGAGAGACGAAACACTAAGCGAAGACGCAACCTGAACCATCGATATTTTTGTGCAGGTGACACTTAAAGAGATGGAGGATCACAAAGCTGCCACGCATCCACGTGTTCTGTGCTCGCACTTCGACCTGGCCGGCGATCAACGCGAGTACTACACGCATCTATATCTACCAGGACGAGATGCACCTACAGATGCTGCACGCAATGCCTCTCTCGAGGAGATGGTATGCACTAAATGTGCTAAGAGTTGCCCTAATGTGGGTGAGTTGCATCGTCACATGTTGGAATGTGGAGGTGATCAGGCCTGGTTGCTTGGCCTCACCGGTAGTGGCAAGAAGAAGTGCAAGTGGCGTCCATTTGGTAGTCGCAGCCGTCGACGGCGTCAACGTGGCATGAAGAGAAACATACAGAACTCGCAGACGCAGCCGCGGATTGTCAACGCGGAGCGATCCAAAGAGAAACAAGTACCGACCGGCCCTAGAGTTCGCCCGAGCGACCGTAAGAATGAAATTCGCTTTTAGGACGAAAATGTGAAGTCAATTCAGTTTTTCTATATCATTTCTGTATTTTGCATACTTTATGTGACAGGTTCACGAACAGGAAACAGATTTTATATCAAAAATATAAAAAGAAAAAAGAATATAATATGTATGTGCACACATATATAGATTGACAAACAGCTGATGTGTTTTTTATGGAACAGATTCTCTTCTAACACAAAGATATAATCTTTTTGCATAATTATATGAATTGTAAATTAAAAAGTATCGACGCTGAGTGTATGTAATGTGTATTTTTCGCCTACGGCCTTCAAATCTCATTGCTCGAAAAAAGAATTTAAATGAATTTATTACAATTTATTAATATCATCTTAGATACTAAGTGATAATTACGAGTTGTTGTAATATAAACCTAGCTTCACGACTGATCGCTCGAATATGTTTTCAGGCGAAAGCATTCAGAAAATGCTGGCCAATCTGCCGGCTAAAAGAGCTACGAGGAAGGTTTTGCAGGACAACATGATGCGATCGCAGGGTAGACTTCGTAACGTAAGTAATTTAATAGTACAAAGCAATGTCTATTTTCACCTTAATAATACACTCAATCAAAACTGGATCGATATTAGATTCATAAAGGTGATTATAATAGCCGACTAATTGAAGGATGTTGACAGCGTAATATTTAACATTAATGGGGTCTTCTCTATAAAGGTTTTGTAATGATACAATTGGATATTATTTTTCCGAACTATTGCGATGAAAATCACATCAAAATATGAAAGTCGTATCATGTCACATTATATAATATTAAAATTGTTCAATGAAAAGCTGCTTGAAATGTCGTTATAATAGTTAATAATTTCAATTACATTTCAATTTTTATTATCTAAGAAAATTATACAATTCCTTATAATTTCCTACTGATAGAAAAATCAGTATAAACGGGACATAATAAATGAGATCGATTGAAATCGTATAATAGATATAGCTTAACGTAATTTTGTGTATTATCGAAGACAAATTACGTGAGTAACGAAACATTGTACCGCTGGTTAACCTGAGCAACGCAAATATGCAAATAATTTCGAAAAACTCGAGACTTGTCGAAATAATGATAGAACGTTATTGCCTTGCACGCCTCGTCACACACGAGTGGAGGCATCGATTAGTTGATATACGCGTTGTGTAGAACTACACATTCCTATGATCGTACACACAGTCGCGCAGGCAAAGCGATTTTTATACAAACATCATATTCGTTTTATTTTTCTTTCGTTAAAAATGCTATTTTTCTTGCTTTTCGTATTATATTTCTATTTTGTACCTTTATAGAAAGGTAAATTATAAATAAAAATATAAGATAAAAATGTTATTAGAGATAAAACTTTAAATTATGTCTCAATGATAATGAAACTGAATTTATCAGCACAAAAGCTGTAGTGGTATCTTTGGGCTTTGTTGAAACAGGTGCAGACCAGAACAAGGCCTTGCATAATCGGCGACAACTCGTCTCGAATCTCACGCAACAAAGCCGCTCTGCGGAACAAACTGCTGAAGAACGCCAAGTCGATTCAGCGGAATCGCTGTCGAAGTGATAACATCGCAGCGGTAATCGAGAGCGTTGTGAGGAAGTGTCACGAGACTGAGAAGAAATTAGATAGCGATGTCGACAAAACCGCCGAAACTGAGAACAAAGATAAGAAAGATGCCAAAGAGATGAACGAAGGTTCGTTAAAGGCAACTAGCAAGGCTTCGGATCAGAATGATAGAACTATTCGACCGAGAGTCGTTGGACGACCTAAGGTTCTCGGCAAAAAGAGAAATGTGAAAAACCCTCGACTTCAAAGCAAAAGTAGTAATAAGTTAGTGAAAACACTGGGAAAATTTTCGAAGTTCAAGAATGATATTACATCCGAGACAAAGGGCGAAGGCGAGGAGGCATCCTCCCCAAAGAGCACACCAAAGAACGCAAAAATGACGCCGAAAGCGATTAACAAAAATGACGTTAATATCAATATTAAAAAGATATCGACAATTTCTGCAGTAAAAAATAAAAACAAATTGACGCAAAATATATTGAAGAAAAAGCGTCCTGTGGATCCGGTGGCATCCATGAATGCTTCTATCAAAGCAAAATCACAATTACGAACGCAGGATGGTAAGTTCGCTCGCAATCCAAACAAAAATTTGTCAGCGAAATTGTTTGAAGCGAAAACAGACGATGAAAAATATAAATCTGCCGATTGGCTCGAAATTAAGCCCAAACTGAAAGCGGCGCAAAAATTAAAAAAAATTGGGGTTCAGCTGCCACGAAGAATCACTCGACTATCATCGGATAGTGACAAGATGCCGACATTGGAACCAGTTGTACAGATTGTTTCCTCCAACGAGGAATATGTCGATAAGTCGGCGAATGATTTACCTATCTTGTCGCCAGTAACATCATCAAGTTCTCTTCAGGATCAAAAGACATCAAGAATTTCCACAAAGTGTGTTTTAAAGGAAAAAGAGGAGAATATTGAGACTAACGCCGATCTCGAAGCTATTCCTGAAAAAAGAAAAAAGGAGCAGAAATCAACGAGAGGAAGAAAACCGAAAGAGGAAACGAAAGACATGGCGAAGCGTAGGAAGACTAATACAATTGAAGAAAACAAAGCTTCCAAAAATAACGTAATAGTGTTAAAAGATGAGAGAATGAAAGGCAGGAAGAGTTTACCGATTTTAAATGCTAATAGCGGTGAAAATAGCAAGGAAGAAATATTGAAGAAAGAGACAATTGCCAAAAAAGATTTTAAATCTAAAAAAGAAGAAGCGACGAAGGAAACTCGAAGCAACTCGAAAACCAGAGTAAAGAAAGATTTGGTGAAATTGTCGGACATTCCGTTCGAGGTGAAGAAACTGTTGTATTCGGCTCAATGTATCCTCGACAAGGACGATCTTTTGAGCACACTAGAACTCGCATCTAACGACTCGAAACGCAACCTCAGACAATTGGCACCAAGATCGAAAGTGCTTCAAGTGAGCGATAAGAAATCGCGAGAACTCGATGACGAATCAAACGGCTCGAAAGATACGAGCAAAAAAGAGAAGATTGAAGCAAATAAAAAATCATCCAGAAAAAACGCTGAGAAGAAGGGTGACGATAAGCTAGCGAAAACAAGTCTAGAGAAGGATTCGACTAGCAACGCAATTGCCAACATAGCGCAAAATGAAAGAAATCAACAAGGTAAAAAAGACAGAACAGTGAAAACAAAGGAAATTATGGTTGATAATCCCGAGATGAAAAGTAAAACTGATGGAAGACAAACGAGAGGATCAATGAGCGACGTTAAGAACGAGCCTTCCTTGGAAATTGTAAGCGATAACCTCCGAAAAGACAAATCTTTGCTGGGGAAACGTCGCAGTCGTAACAAATCGCTCGACAAAGATGAAGTAACTAACTTTCGTGCGTCCAAAGCACAGAGTGGCAGCGAAAATGCCTCGTCAAGCGGAAAGGAAGCTGAGAAAGAACTCGGAGAAGTTATCGATAAAATTTCTAAGAAGGAAATTGAAACCGAAAGCGATAAAAATTCCGATGATCGCCTAGACTCGACAGTAGTGAATATAAATTTAAGTCACTTGCAATCAGAGACGAGTAACCTGTCCATCGACAGTGGTAAGGAAAACTCTTTGGAAACATCCGTGAATGTTCATAGTAAACTGAAGGTAGGGAGACCCAAGAAGTCATGGGGTGCGCGTCGTGAAAAATCGTTGAGGAGGAGGTCCTTAAACAATGTTATCGGTATTTTGACGGAGGGCATGAATATTCCTGTGGAAGCACAGCAGAACGTGCAGGTACTCACGGTTCAGACTAGTTTAGACAATCCAGATAGGCTAGCCCGAAACGGAAGCGTCCAACAACCAAGTAGTGGCGAGGGCAACATGATAGACTCAGCATTTAGCGAGCTGTCGGTCCTTACCAAAAGTGAAGAGAAATCCACGGAGAACGAAATTGTTACTGCGACGAGCACAACCGATAGCTCTCACGCGGATGATAAGAAGAATGCTTGTCCTGATGAAGCACAACTCGAGAACGCCTTCGCCGACGGAAAAGTCGACGTATCCTTGAAAGTTGCAACTGCTAAGGCGTGTTCGCCAGCCAACGACATTATCCTCGATCTGTCTAGAAGGAAACCCAAGGGCAAAGGCTCTTTCTTAGAGAAAATTGTGTCGAAAATAGCGAAGCAGAAAGACGCTTTGCTAGAAGGTGAGGTAGGTTCTTTGCTTGACACTGCGGCCGATGAATTGACTAGTATTCTCGATGAGGTCGGACCCACCTTGACTGATAATACGGAGAGTACAAATTCCAATGAGGCAAACCATGCCTCAAAGAACGATAAAAATGTGACAGTTACATTCACTGACAAAGAACTGCCGATGATTGTCGATTCTGAAGTCCAAGCGTTGGAAAATGAGAAAATCAGTGTTGAGAGCGCGGTTTCCAAACGTTCAACGGATTCTTTGGAGATGTCAGATAATCTCGAAAAAAGCTTAGCAGCAAAGACTGAAACTCAAAGTGAGAATCAAATTAGAGCAGATAATATTTCAGACGTTGAGATGAAGAATAACGATGACTTGGACAGAAAAGTAAGTTCTGTTGAAGAAAATGTTGAATCTTGCGAAAAGAAATCTATGACAAATGAAGAACCAATTATTCCAATAAAAATTCCAAATGAGAGTTCTTCATCATTAACCGATACTTCAATTTCTTGTTCGTTAATTATGACACAAAAAGAAAATTTAGAAAAACCTGAAAGAAAGAAAGGCGTTACGAAATCTAGGAGAAAATCCAACAAAAAATCACTAGATGCAAGATCTAAGAAAAATAAGAAAAGATTACTAGAAATCATCGAAGATTGCACAGAAGAAGATGCGCAGAAGAAACTTGGATTAAATGACACATTTAAGTCTGATATTGGAAATGAGTTTTCAAAGAAAGATGATAGTATGGAGACTTTAAACACAAATATTGAAGCCGAAAAGTTGAATCTGCTCCAACACAACGAAAGCGAAATTATCAAGGATAACTTAAAGCCAACAAATTTGGAAAATAATCTTATGAAAGCTAACCATGAATCAGATTTAGAAATATTTACCGATCTTTCAGAAATCACTTGTGAAAATGCAAAATTAATGGCGGATCTTGAGAAATCCCTTGATAAAATAATTTCTGACGAAGATATTACCAATGATCAGTCAATAGAATCAACCGAGAAAAACATTGATTTTTCGATATTATCTTCAGAGAAAAGCGTTGAATGTAGAAAATCTACAAATAGAAATAAGAAAAAGAATCAAGTCAATTCGAACGGATCTTCATCTAGGCGTAAATCGAAGAGAAAATCGAAATCTGTTTTATCAATAACTTCTCCGATGGACGTTACTACAAACATCCTCGAAACTTCCATAGAACTGATGGATGAAACAGAGAAGATACCATCTTCATTGTCTACTTTGAGAGAATCTTTAGAATTAACTGATATGCAATCGATAAAAACTGGGACCACTAGCGACTCAGACACTCCTTTAGAAAATATCTTGCATGCAGTGGAAATAGCACCTGAGAAACGTAAAGAGACACAAAATACAGACTCAGAAAATTTAAGTCTCGTTAATTCGATGTCTTCAAAAACAACTAAGAAACGTGGCGCGAAAAAGAAGTCATTGGCCGAGGAGCATCTGGAACTACCGGAAGACAAATCTACTAAAATTGTTTCGAAATTCAACGATGAATCCAGCATCGCAGATACTAACGAGCAATTATCTGTTAGTTTAGAGCATTTTAAAATACCGGAAGTGAAGGATCTACCGCAGAGCGCGAAGAAACGAAGTCCAAAGAAGAAATTGCAGTCCGAAGAAGATCGTTGGAACAGCGGAAACGTTTCCGAAGAGTCTCAGACGAATGAGGAACCCATGGTGATCGGCGAGATATCTAACTCGATCGAAGAGAAAGTCAAAGAGCAGGAAGAAATAGAGAAACATGTTACTGGAGAAGAATCGAATACGAAGAAGTTCGAAAGATCGAGTTCTTCTGGATCGATCGGTCTCGCTCCATTTTTACCCAAGACAAGATCTATGTTTAAGAGAAAAACACAACTATCAAGCGAAGACCTTGCTGATTGTGGTATTCGAAATCAGAGTGCCGAAAGTATGGACGACTTGTCCGAGAGCTCGTGCGTTAGCGAGTCCAGTTACTTTAGGAAGAAGCGATTCGCAAAGAAAAAGAGGAAAGAGGAGATGGTAGTTGGCAGCGCCCGAGCCGATTCTTCTCTCATAGATTCAATAGCTCTGAAGAGTGGTAAGCAAAGTCCAAAAGAGAAAACGAGCAAATCATTGCTCGATGAGCATCTTGATTTATCTGACGTGGATGATATTGATATTCCGATGGATATCCAAGCTTCATTAGAAAATACGGAAGCCTTGGAAAAGATTGAACGAGAGCTCGAACTTACTAACAAATCTTTGGATCCACAAAACGAAGACTCAAACAAACTAATAGATGACACAGAGAACAAAGATTCGGATGCTTTAGAACGACCAGCATCTAATAATCATGATTCTTCAGATAATCCGGTTACTCCGAAAAAACGCACGGCTGGCAACTTTGTGGTGGTGCACACAAAGACCGGTGAGATCTTGATCGTGGAGAAAAAGAAGAAGTTAACGAAGGAGACTCCGAAATTTTTCTGCGGCGTATGCGCTACAAGCTTCACTCGTAAGAGCTCTCTAAAGAAACATACGTTGTCACAGTCGCATTTATCACAGTTGACAAAATCCACCAAAGATAAAATCGAGTCTGTTAACAGCAACACGTTCGAGAATACTGAAGAGGACGACAACGAATGGAAGAGTAATCAAGAGAATGATCAACAGACGAAGAACGTTCTAGAAGACGCTCCATCTCATGAAACCGATCGGAAATCTTTAGAGCTAGACGAGAACTTCGTTCCTTACACAAGTAGCACGGAAGTAGAATTGACGAAATCTCTTGTGGATCTCGGAACAAGGCAAATGTTGGAAGATAAACTGCTAGACGAAGAGATTTGCAAGATTACCGAGAACATGAGTCATGACGAATACGTTTTGACTGATCAACTAACACCAGAAGAGCCGATGTTGTCATCAACACCTATCAAAGCCATCCAAACAAAACAAGAGGATTCAGGACGAAGCAAGAACAATGACAAGAAGCGGAACAAATCGAAAAAAAGAAATCTGGCTGAAGAACATTTGCTCTTGGATTCTCCTAAATTAGAAAATTCGAAAATTGACTCGAGCGAGCTTTCAAAACCAACCAATGATGTGCAAGTTTCCTCACCATCTTGTGACTATTCTTCGATGAAGGAAATAATGGAAATAGTAGAAAAGACTGGAGATATTTCTAAAGAATGTGTAGATAACACTGAAACGGAGAATCAATCAGAATTAATTGTTAAATCTTTAAATGAAGAAACAGATTTAAAATCGGTATGTGATACCGATAGGAAAGCTGACCAGCAAACAGAATCCACGAGGACTACGAAGAAAACGTCGAGAAAAGTCTCTAAAGCTTATAATGAGGAAAAAGAAGAGACCTCAGCTTTAACTGAGATAAATCGTTTCAGTTTAAGACCTAGAAGAAGTAAAAACATTCAGCATTATGAAGAGTCTGATATTGAAGCTGATATATTTTTTATGGATACTTCCACGGAAATGAACAGTGATGAGAAAGAAGATAGCTGTGATGTGCAAAAGAGACAGAACGAAGTAAAAGAAACCAACAGGGATGCACTACAGGAAAACGCATATGTTGCTACTGACGATAAGAGTCCCCAGAATACAGAAGTCGCAAACTTGACAACAGACTCAACGAATAGCACTAAGAAAAAGAAACGTGGAAGACCAAGACTTAAAGATCGAATTGTTCCGAATTCCAGTAATACTTCAGCTTCCGCGAAACTTGAAGTTAACGGAAATGATTCTGTGGCTACGAGCAATCTTGATGAATCAAAAATCGAGGATCAAAAATTAAATTTGCATACCAAAGAGCGTCTTGACAAAATCAGTAAACCGCCACATATTGATGCGAATGCCCAACCTCCTCCCAAACGGAGTCGGGGTAGGCCTAGAAAAAATCCTGTACCCATTACAAATTCTTCAGTACAAGCAGATAATTCGAGTGCTTCCGAATTGACGAAATCAAATTATGATGAAGTGAAAGAAAAGGCAGACGTGATTGAATCATGTTCCAAAATGGTTATCGAAGAATCCACGTCGATCAGTTCTTTGATACCGAACGCGGAGTCTTCACCTGCCGTTCAAGATCATACTTCAGAATCAAGTTTATCGAAAACAAAGAAAGATTTATTAAATGCTGAAGACGTTCAAAGCACCGAACTAAACGTTTCCAAAGATCGATCGACTCAGAGAATAGAATCTACGGATATTGCGATAGACGACACCGTACTCGCAAAGAATTGCGAGAATATGCTTACCTCCAACGTTCCATCAGAAAAAGTCGAAATATTGATACCATCAGAAACAAACACATGTGTTGATGATGCAAAATGTGTACTAGAAGATAAACGAAATGATACGAATGTGAATGTTTTAGTACATCTAACAACTGAATCATCAGCCGAGCTTCCTTCACAAATTATCGAACAGGTATCCATTGATGATTTGGAATCAGCTGAATCAAAAGCAATCGAATTAGACAACAATGAAAGCTTCGAAATTCCAAAATCAACAAATATCTTAGAAGAGGAACAAATGAAGCCAAGAGAACAACTTTTCGAAGAAGAAGTCCCCAAAGCAAAAATCTTGTTAGGATCAGAAAGTGAAGATAAAACGTTAACCGCTGACAATAAACCTGTTCTAAATTTCCACGAATCTCAGAAGATATTGAATGATTCAGGAAATGATAGCACTTACGATGAAAAAACAATTCGACGAGAATCTAACAAGAAATTATCCAGAAAGTCAACGAGTAAAGAACGAGAAACTGATCGTAAAAGATTGAAAACATCCAAGGATAAAAAGAAAAAAATCAAAGTCGCTGAACTGTCAAGTGACAGCGAGAACGAGGATGACAGGATTGAATCTGCTGCTTCGAGTAAAAGTAAAATTGTGAAGAGTGTGTTCGGCCGAGTGTTTGGTGGCGAGAAAGCGGATAAGGTGAAAGAAGTATTGAACGACTGGGTATCACGATCAGAAGACGACTCGGATATATCTAAGAATGCTTTGGATGCGAGATCCTATCTGCGTGGACTAACAAAGTTCCCCGAGAATGGACACAAGAAAGAGAAGAAGTGCCACTTCGGTTCTGAAACAAAAAAGGATACTGAGCGATTACACAGAAAGAAGGGAAACGACAAGTGCGGCAGTGAGGTTCAAGGGAAAGCGAAGAATCGAAAGAAGCGAGAGAAGAATACCGAATCGATATCTGAGGATCGTATCGGGTCACCCATCAATCCGGCCAAGCGAAGATATAGAGAGAGCAAGATCAGGGCGGACGAGAAGATCTTGAGGGCTTTCGATGATGAGTTACTGACGATTTTGGACGAAGATAACAAGACTAAAGAAATGAGCAATCAGATTAATGAATTTAACGATAAAGATAAAGAAACAAAGAGACACCATGAAAAAGATTTGAATAAGGAGCGAACGAAGAATAAAAATTTGACGTCCGAGAATTGGGAGAGCCTTCGAGTTGAACACGACTCTTGTGGAAAATCGAAAAATAGTTCTAGTCATCGTAAGAAACAGGATGCTAAGGAACCTGCTTCGTCGCCATCGCAATCCGAGTCTAAATACAGATGCAGGGAGAGCAAGACTAAAGCTGGCGAGAGGATCTGGCGAGCCTTTGACAATGAGATTTCGTCGTGTCTTTCTGATGATCAGGATCTTAATGAATTTCACGAAATTTCTAAAGAACAGCGATTCGAGTTCGACGAATCTAAAGATTTGAATCGTTTGGAGAATAATTCGAAGAATGTCAAACAAACAGATGACGATACTTGGAAAGACGTCAGTTCGATAGATCAAGAACAGAGTGTAGTGCATAGTGGACGCGGGAGATCCAGAAAAAACTCAAACAGTCGCAAGAAACAGAATTTCAATATAATTAAAATAAGTAAGTCAAAAACAAACAAAAGGATTTCTAAGGATCACGAGTCATCAATTCCTTTGGAAGATCGAGAAACGAAGAACGAGATGCAAAACGATCAAACGATACTATCGACAAATGAATCGAGGACTCGATCGAAAACTTTGATCAAAGATAGTTCTTATGAATCCATTTACGGCGATTTAGTTGTTTCGAAGCATGTAAAAAAAGATGGAGATAATTTGCTGACATATTTGGATCAGTCAACAAATTCTAAGAAAAACAAAAAGGGGATTGTCAATGAAGATTGGAAACATTCAGCAAGAAAATTTGATCTAGACGATGATCAGCTAACTGAGAAGAACATTGGACAAAAAGGAGAGGAATCTACGATATCATCGCGTAGTTGTAGCAGTTTAGCGGCCGAAGAACCAATAATGAAGAATCAATTGGTTGATCTTGATGGAAATTCTCAGATGAATCGAAATGATAACGATGATAACAATGATAACGATGATGAAGAGGAGGACAACGATAGCGATCTCGAGCGACAAAGATTGTCACCATTCGCTCGCGAGACTCCCAATAACTTTATAGAAAGCAGCTCCAACAATGAAGAAGAGGAAGAGGAGGAGGAAGAAGATGGCGAAGAAGAGGAAGAACGCGTAACATACGAGGATAATTCCAGAAAGACAAATCCTAGCGAATTCTCTGGGGAGAAGATCATAATCAGATCACCGTCTTTGGGTCACAGATCGGATGTAGTAACGATTGCACCTACAGACGCGATGGAGGACAATGCTTTGGATGTACCGAGAGAGATCGAGGAACCAACGACGGAACCGCGACAAGGCAAAATCCTTAATTTTGATGAGGAGCTCTTCGTAGAATGTTGCTCGAGATTGAAAGCTACAAGCGAAAACGAGTTAAGAGGTGCGAAGAAGATTAAACTGGACCACTCGGAATCATATCATAGACGAGACGATCAACCTCAAGACTTCAGAGTCAATAGAGATCGATGGAGAGACGTGGAGAGTCAAAATAGTCTCGGTAGTCTTCTAGAGTCGGTGAATCAAGTAAGTATCATACATTAGAAATTTTTCGGCTTGAATAACTTAATAATATATAATTATAATAAATCATTGATAAGTTATAAATTTTAAATAAAATTGTGTACAATTTACTAAAAATAATAATTTATTACGATTTATATATTTTATTATATATAAGTCATTTAGTCTAAAATTGTATACTGCTCTTTTAAGAATTAAAAACAGATTTATAAAGGAAAGTATAAACACAATGTAAGGAATATATTGCTTGAAAATTCTAGTTGCTCGGCGAGGAGATGTACAACAGTCATGATAAAAGTTATCGAATGCACGGTAGCGAACGATCGAGCAGATCGGCCAGTCCGGATGCGTCACGAATCGACAATCTTGGCTATGAGGATAGTTTGGACGTAGCTTTTGAGCACAATAACAAACTACGAGATAAGATCCAGCAGCGTATGAGAGAGAGCGAGAATCTGATAGCCAGCACGTTCGGCCAAAAGATCAACGATCGTTCCGATGACAAGCGAGACAGCGTTGGGAACTCGTACTCCTCGAGTATTCACGAACACGAACAGTTGCCTACATCGATTGCGTCAAATAGAGAGCTAGGTTCCTCACCAGGTCACAAAAACAAGATGAATTCGACTCTAGGTGGTTTACACAAGGCACTATCCAACTTGTTGCACAGCAACGGCAAGCATGATCATAAGTGAGTATTTCGATATTCAAATCTATAATAAAAATACGTAATATTTATACTGTAAATATTTTTATTATATCATATAGTGAATAATTTTGAGAAAACAAATTAACATTCTATTAACATAATAGAAGTATATTATAATAATGAACTTTTTAGTTGGACATAGATAAGTTTGATAAGTTTAATGAGGTTTTGAATTCAAGGAAGACGAAGGTTCTTCAAATTTATAAGTGCTTCATGAAAATAAATTTGCAAAATTTTCTTAACCAGCTGTCGTTTATAAACTTAGTCATATCGAATTCTTGTTTTTTTACTAATTACAAACTTGATTTGTTTTCTTAACGTTCACAAAAGACTTAGTTTATTATTCTATTTTTATAATGCTATATACAGATATTAATATTTTAATACGTTTCTTTGAAATTCCGTCTTGATGTGAGAGCGAAAAAGGCATTCGAGATTAATAGAATACATGTGACAAAACGCCGAACTTCCGATGATTAAAAATATCTTGCTGTATTTTGCAGAATGGCTTACGTATCAAAGCGTATTTTTTAGTTTCGCATCGGTTCGACACCTGTTGATTGCTCGTTTATCTGCTTGCGCGATCCATACATTTTGTTTTTATTCAATTCTTCGATTACGCTAAACTAGATGTAGTATATGATTGGCGCATACCGGCCAATCATTTTTTCTCTGAAAAATAATGCTATGATCCGTAATTATTGCATCGGGTGTGATTGTTTTTTTAGGAATCAAAATCGAGTTTTATTGTACAATGTTCTGTAAACTACACCACACAATCCATAATATCTTGGTTTGAACGTTATACTCTCTATTTTCTTCACTGGGCTGGAATTATTCGAGCTTGATACTTAATTTTCACTAAAGATGGTAGAGAGACCATCGTCGAACGATGCTCATTCGTTCGCGTTGCGTATTGATCCGCTTTCGTCACTCCACCCTATACGCAACGAACGATCTCTCCCTTAACAGAACCAACTTGTAGCGCCTTGCGATACATGGAATTTAGTATATAACACATAAAGCACAGCGACCATATATTATATGTACCCCATGTTCATTAGTCTTCTAATTTATTTACTATCAAACATATATGTTTTCCCGGAAATTACCTTTGTTTAAAAAAAGAAAAAAATACCTGTAAGTACACTTTCCCTATAATTGCCAGAAATGGAACAAAGGGATATTTCTACAATAATGTTAATTAATTTATTAGGGTGTAGAAGGACATTCTCCCACGAGAAAAAAAGAAAAATGTTGTTTACAAAATCTCTTGCAATTCCTGCAACGCATCATACGTAAGACAAACCAGGAGGAAACTCAAGACTAGAATTTCAGAACACTGAAATCACATTAATCGAAATACAAATAATCACTGGGTAATTACAGAACATAGATTAAATTTTAAACACGATTTTGATTGGGAGAATGCTCAATACTTGACATTGAACTATCTTTAAATAAAAGATTAATTTCTGAATGCATTCACATTCACATGCAAGAAAATAGTTTGAATTTGCGCTGTGAACTGAAGGTTTGCACTATACTATGAACTAATTCTTGATGACATAAAACAGCTTAAAAAATTTTAGTTATATACACGCATTTTACCACGTAAGGCTTTATGTGGTTCGAATTAAATAATTTTATATAGTTTATTATCGTTAGTGTGTAATGAAATTTTCTCTGTTATATTTGATTTAATTCTCTGCGGTAATTACTCGGATAACAATAAATTTTCATTATTAACGAATCCATTATTAAATCTATAATTACTCTAAAACCCGTTTACAAAAGTATTTTTCAATTATATGTTTATTGATCGATATATTGTTGACTGAAAAATGTTATTGTAAATTCCTCTGTTGTTTCCTTCATTGTCGCAAAATTTGTATAATAAATCATGAATGCAGAACCTTTTAATAAATACAATTATAGTCATCTACTTCTATATTTTCTATGCAGTTAACCACACGATCACATTTAATAACGAATCTCGTTATCGATGTTCGAACAATTTTATTTATTAATAAAAATATTATAAATCTATTTTATTCCGACAGTGGTTCCGCTCCGATGAAGCTGTTGGCGGAATTGGCCTGCGCTCGAGCTCCAACCTCCACGTTGCCGGAGGATACCACGAACAGTAACAAGAATCATCAATCGGTGAAAATGGTCGCGGCAGCGGTTGCTGCAGCGGCAGCTGTGGTAGTGGACAAGGACACCCCGACTGCCCCTAAGAAGCCAATGAAGGATTCAGCGATAACGTCGAAGAATTCGCCGACGAAGAAAACGAGGAACCCCATCAAGGAGCTGTTCGAGCGCAAGAAGGAGATAAACGATAGAAGACAACAGCAACGTTCGAAGGGCGCTTTTGTTGAATTAAACGTGCAAAAGCAACGTAAGTCGAAGAAGAGCAGGAAGCAGCAGCAGGAGTTCCCGCTGATCCGTAGAAGCGAACACTATGGCGGCTTAGTGGAGAAGAAAAAACGTCGTGATTCTCTCGATCGAAAAGGGGAGTCGGAAAGGATAAAAGATGTGTACGAATTTGACGAGGAGGAAAGTCAAATGGCACCCACTCTGGGTAGCGTTATGTCTTATAGGAGCCAAATCGATAAGAATTACGATATCAATTGGTCAAAGATAAGGAATACCAATGGAAACTTGGATACCGTCTTACAGAACGGTAAGACGAATTACGTCGCGAACACTAAATTAGACGCTGTAATCAACCGTAAATTCCAAGAGCTGGAGAAGTTTGCGCCAAAGACAAAAGGCGCTTTGAAATCGTTTCAGAGCGAGGAGCAACAACAGCAGCAGCAACAGATTACTGAGGCAGTTACCGGACCAATGGACGAATTCGTGGAAAGGAAGCAACGCATGAAACGATCTATAGAGCGATCAAACGAAGGTATCAAACAATCCGGTAAGATCAAGAAACGAGGTAAAAGCTCGAAGAAGCGAGTAAGAAATGCATGGTATGAGAATGACAGCTCGGACGAGTTTAGGACAGCCGCGAAGACGGAAGATGTTGGCGTTGGCATTTCGAAAAGTCAACGCTCATGTTCGAAAGGCAAGCAGAATCTCTTCGCGGAATTATCGACGTCATCCGAGAGCGAGTACGAACGTGACAATATCGATTATATGACCACGAGTGAGCAACGTTCGAAATCGAAGAAAAGTTCGAAGAAACCGCTCGACGATGTCGACGAGACGGATGCTCAACGCAGTGAACCTGAATTTGACAATGAAGATCAAGTAGCAAGCGATTGGAATCGAGCTGTGCAGGAAGATGCTATGAAGAATGATCACGATGTCGCAAAATCAGAATCGGAAATGTCAGATCATTCTTTGGTGATAGATGAAAGGAAGATGATCGATGAGGGGAGAAACAGTGAAGATGACGCGGATAATCAATACGAGAGAACGTTTGATTTGGATGATTTGTATAGGGAAGACAGCTCAGACGAAGAGACAGAAGTCGAAGAGAACGAAGAGCCGACGATCGAAGAAGTGAAGAATAACAGATCTGAAAATCAAACATTGGATGAAAATGCAACTTTGCAAACGAAACTTACTTCTACAATCACGAAAAACGATTGTGCGTCGGAAATGATTTCTTTAGAAGAAGCTTTGGATTTTCTAGATCGTCATGAGAATCTCGATCCGAAAGCTGAGGATATACGTGCTAAGAATAACATCATTAATGGTACTATGGATGAAGTTTCTAACGATGGAATTATTAATGAAGAAATGGAGAACAAATGTTCGAGTCCTACAGAGATGCGAGATGAGAAGGAAGAACCTGATGACGATGTTCCGACTTTGCCTGAGAAATTGTCCAGCAACGAGAAACCACTGAAAGAATCTGATCATAATCTTCCTCTTCATGTATTTCTCAGCAGAAAGGTACAAGAATCGAAGAAGAGAAAGCAACAGCAGTTAGATAAACTACGAGAGGAACAAGAGAGGATACTCATGGATTTTCAACCGACCAGAAGACAAAGAAAGTGTGCAATAGGTAAGCAAGGTCTGCTAGCGGAAATAAGCAGTTCGGACGAGGAATCATATGTGAGAGATAAAGATAGCAAGAAAGGTAGCGATCATGATAAGTCGCGGAAGAAAAGGGAATTGAAGGAGAAAAGAAAAGAGAGATATCTCGAGAAGAAGCATGAACAGATGATTGCTAAAGAGCAGAAAGCGATCGAGGAAGAAATTCTGCGAGAGGTTGGCAAAAGAAAAGAGATCATCGTACAAAATGATGATATTGCATTGAATACCGATGTTGTGGAAGCAATCGTCTCTGGACAAATTCAGAGGAAGAAACATCAGACGAAGGAGAAGCATAAGAAAAGTGGCGACGAGAGTATTGAAGAGAATGCAATGTACATTGATCAGTCTTTCCTTGATAACTCAGAAGACAATCACGACAAATCAGATCGTGCTTTCTCCACGGCGGAAAGTAACACAGAGAACAACGACCACTTGTCAACTTCACTAAAACGAAAAAAACTCGCGAAATCGTCAGTAAAATCAAAGAAAGTTTCCAAATCCGAAAACGGAAAGATCCCGACGAGTAAAAGAAGCAAAGAGCCAACCGCGGAGAAATCCAAGAAGTCCACAAGCAACAAGGATTCTAAAGAGCGCAGATCGTCCAGCGGAAAACGCGACTCTGATGATGAGGAGCTAAAGACCACCAAATCATGGAACAAGGTCGAGGAAGGCGTCGGGGTTGCAATCGGTCGACATAAACGCACCGCTGCTCTTCAATTATACTATTGGTCCAGTTCGAGCGACGAGGAGGAAGCGCCAGAACCGATCCCGGCGCCCGAAGAAGAAGAGGACGATCGGCAGGAGCAACACGGATGGATAGTAGGCGACTCCCACAAGAAGATGATCACGATGTTGGCGATGGAGAAGCAACTGAAGGAAAAACGACGTAGGAGTGAGGACGAGTTCGAGCCTGGAAAGGCGAAGAGCAAGAAGCATCGGAACAGCACTTCTTGATACGTGTTTCATGATTAAAGCTCGATCAAAGATCCCGCGCGATAGACGCAGTGAGACTACGTTATTCTGACAACATAAACTGTGAAAGCGAAATAGTGACGGCCAGAAAGGTCTCCACGTTTGTCTTTAATGAGAATTAATCACATTCTGTATCTGCCACGGTGATTACTGGTAGATCTGTTTAGGTAGATAAAAATACAATGGACAAGTGCGATCTATCATCAGAAAAGTATTTGTTGTGTTCGATCTTTTTTCTTCTTTCCTTTGTTAGCAAATGTTGGACGAGTGTACGTTTTTAAGCGTAAAGAAGGAAGAAAGAAGATATAAAATGTATATAGTTGCTTGGCATTTAGAGATTAGAGATTAGACGAGCATCCTCCCTCGTTACAATCTAAGAATTATACACATGTATAAATATAAATCGAGCTCTTATAAATACCGGATGATTTAGACTGAACATGAGAAGTAGCAAAAGTGAAAAGAGCACTCTTAGACAATACTAGGACATTTGTAACGTTTAGTTGTATGTAGGGGATCTCCCACATGTGAAACAGGTGAGATGAAGAAATGAGAGGGATAGAGGGGGGGGGGGGGGG